TTTTTTTTGTCAAGTTATAGTAGTGACCAGCTGGTAATTGTTTATAGTTGGCTGAGAATTGTCTTGCGCCACATCATGTTGCTATAGTGGAAGATCAGCTGGAGCAAATAATTGACGTATGTGACATTTGCCTCAAACTCACCACTATAAAAACTAGTAACTATAGTTATTTTAGCTTGTGAATAAAGGAAATCCTCGTGTGGTGGGGACGAAACTGACTACGGTAGTAGAGACTCAAACAACTACCACCACAAGTAATCTTTCATCAGGCCCACCTACGGCAAGAGTAACCATTTGCATTATATCATATGAAATATGTGTTTAATAGTGTTTACACGTTGAATTAAAGGCTGCTGCATCACCTGCACCACCTGCCGCTCAAGTAATGGCTCCTCAGGGAGTTGCTCCAAACGCTGTAGCTCCTGCACAGCCGGTCGCGGCTGTTCAGTCGCAAACTCCCCAGATGCCTATCCCTGCAGCTGTAACTCCTATAGAAGCGCCTCTTGCAGTTTCACCTCCAGTAGTAAGGAACGAGCAAAAGGTAGGGTGCCTTGATTATTATCAAAATGAGAATTGCTTTGCAAATGAAATTTGGTTTTTGCTTGGATGAATTAAACAAGAAATTTACAAAGAAAGTTTCACTATATAAGAGTTAGCTATTAGGATATTAGATAGATATTATATTAGAAACTTTAATTTGGACGTGTTATCTTCAAAACTGTACAGTCTTATGTTACCTCGAAGTAAACGTATATGGCTATTTTTTCATAAAATGTCTCGCGACCAGTTGCAGTAATAACTTAAAATACTGGTTCACAGCGTATTTAAATTAACCTAATTGCTGTGTCATTTTAAGAATCATAAATATTGTTGAAAGATAACAGAGTAATGCTGTTCTCTCCACCTCATTTCTCATCCGTTATTGATACTAAAATAGCTTCATCATAGTGCTAGGGATGTGTTAATGACATAATTGCAAAGTGCTCTCAGAACTTTGAAGAATATTCTCATTTTTCAGCCGGGGGAAAATCTCTTATTTAGCCATCCCTGCAGTCGCTAGCGGGACAAAGTCGCAGTGTTGATGGAGAAAGTTCTACGATAGCTACTCCTGTACCGCCGGCAGGCGTACCACAATCAACCTCACTCCATGTCATGAACACCGCAACTGCTCCCACAACTGTAACTGTAACTACTACTACTGGTATGACAACAACGAGGAAGTCGCGATTTCAAGTGAGAATTTTATAAACGCCCTTTTCATCATAACATTGTATTGTTGCATGTGCTAAGTTTCAGGTTACTCCTTCCGCAGTCTCAGTTATCCCACCTACGTCGCTTGCAACCCTACCTTCTGTTGAAACAACAACACATCCACCAGTGCCTGAGGCTCATGTACAACAGCTAAGTCCACCAGCGCCAGTAGTATCTACTGGGTCGTCGCCGAGCACCACGGCTCATTCGAATACATCCTCGGTCATAAGTAACGCGAGCACGGGAAGTAGATTCAAGGTGAGTTTATGAGATTTGAGGGGGTGGTTACAGCTGGTTAGCGAAGGCCAAATTTAGGTGCAAAATGTTCCCATACAAGCCACATTAGCGCCAACGCCATCCGCCGAATCTGGCTTTTCATCATCTACTTCCACTCATACTGAAGGTAGCATTTCAAGCATAGGATCTGCTGCCACTCCTTTAGCAGTGCAGCCACCTATCACAGCAAATGTTGCAGCGTCTATGACGGTATGTTCATATGATCAGCTCATAGTATCTAGAAAATTACATCTTAAGTGTCTGCTTCAGATGGCTGCTCAGCTAGCCTCGCCTGCGACGATATCGCTACCAACAGCTCCAGTAGTCTCGTCTGCAAGCATTATCCAAGCTCCACCTGAACCTACGCCTGCATCTGTTGTTCCAACTGCTGCGATAACCTCTGTAGTGACTGTAGCTACAGTAGTTCCATCACATCAACCTCTTATCGCTAGCACACATGTCGACCTTTCGGCATTACAGAAACTGGATTCAGAGCTTAGAAAAGTACACTTCAATCTGGCACGCTAATCTGCTTGATCAGCTTAATCTTAATTTTTTTAGGTGAGCGGCGTATCGACTGTCAGCGGTGTATCGACTGTTTCCGCAGGAGCCAATACAGCGCATGCTCCTATCCCTGAAGCTATGACACAATCTGCGATTGCTACACTACATTCTGGTGCTCAGGTAATTTTCTAACTCTTATGTGTACCGCTTAGGGCCAGCCTTTGTTTTCCAAATAATTTTGTCGTTACGGAAAAGTTTTTGTTTAGGAAGGCCTGTCAAATCTGGCATAGTAACTTGTTGCTCGCACAGCTCGTTAGATACTTACTGGGCATCTCACTATATCTTTTTCTCTCGATAAAGAGTTTAAGCCAAAGTAATCGGTCGAGTCACTCTCCCAAACCTCTAATCAAAAACAATTGCGCAGTTTAGAGGCTCTCAACTATTTCAACAGCCTGGGAGCCTAAGAGTGATTGGCAGCATATATTCCTCAAACGACTTTAAATACAGTAGGCTATACAGTTGAATGTTAAGCAATCAGACAAAGATAGTTTGAAACAAAACACGTCGCTCACAAATCAACAACCTAATCGTCCACCCTTTGCATGTTATATTAATGATGGAGAGAAGTTTACTAAGGCTTCTTACATTCCTTTCATAACGGTGACGCATCCTTTATGGGAACCTGATGCAATACGACGGGCTTGATCTGAGTGTAATCGGTCATCACCCTTTTCTTTTACAGGATTGAGCGTAATTATCAAATTCTTTCTCTTCGGTTTGTACATACCAATCAAAACTCACTTGAAAAAAGCAGCATACTGTTAGAAATACATTTTTGTTCGAGATATAATCTTTGTTTCTTACGTTTTGATTGCTTAATCCCTTCGAAACTGGAGGCAACAGCTAACAGTTAGCAAAACGTTATTTACAAATAAAATTAGAGGGTAATAGGTAATTCAACCTCAAATACTCTGTCTCAAGATGCGTTGATGTTGTTGCGAGAAAGGTTTGGTTGTTTCCGTCGTTATGACGTAACGAGTGTAGAAAGACTGGTTTGCATATGCTGCGCAGCCGACAGAGAGCATCACCATATAATAAGGCGTTGATCTTCTCGCCCTCATTTTCCGTATATTCGACATCTAATGGGAAGATGCTGCGTTTGCAGATCCATAATGCACATGTTGCATTGCATCCTACTACAAGTCTTCCACACACTCCGGCTCATACGGGAGAAATTTCTACCAATCTCGCAGGTTTGATTTTTTGCTGCTTATGGGAAATTTCAAGATCTTATTATATTGCGTTTGATTAAGGTTTGAGTGAAAAGCTTGCTGTTCTCAGTCAACAACGAGAGCAGCAGCAGGTGCAACAACAGCGTGAACAGCAGCCAGTGCAACAACCAGTGACACAGCAAGCACAGCAACCAGCAACAGGGCAACCATTGCCACCTCCCAAGGTTGGCTTTACTATTTTTTCTCTCATATCGTTAAACAAGGATAATAATCTGAGGTTCCTTTCTGTTAATGCTGATATATGGATTAGTTAATTAGATATAGTTATCAACATATGGAGTATACCATTCGATGAAAGACTTGCTTTGTTTTTCTTTCATGCATTTGAATTTTCATGATTAGGAAAATAAGTTTAAAGCATTAGTAAAAAATGTTTAGAAAGAATGAAAGAGTTTTCTTAGGAAGAAGAATCCATGTAAAATAGTTTTTGAGAAAATTCCTTATAAAGGTTTCAGCTTATCACTTACATATCTATACAGCATAGATGGTATTGTCAATTTCTGGTTTATGAAGTAAATTTTCGTAACAAATGAGCACCAGTTCAATGTTTATAGTTTTACCACCACTGATGTTTTCAGGAAGATGATGAACATCTGTCCAACCAAACAACGGCCAGTGGAACGGAGGATATCCATGTTGACACACTCAATGGCCTGGCACAAGCGCTTCAGAAGGTAGCTTCATTGGCAGTCTCTTCAAGTCGTACTCTGTGTTTCAGTTCATTCTAAAGCTTATCTCTTACAACATTTGTCCGCGTTTGTAGGTGATCAATCCGGAACCAAAAGAGCAAACCCCATTATCTGGTGGTGAGCTGCATGGTCGCATATCACCCCATCAATTTGCAAATTCGACACAGGAGCTCTATCATGTACGTTGATTCAGATTTTATTAATTCCTCTGGAGGCATTACCACTGATCATTTGGTTTGAAATGTGTGTTAACTACCTCTACCGTCAACCACAATGTGCAGTGCTAACTGCTTCCGTCCAACCTATGTTTGTTTCACATGCTATCGTAATCGTTCCGCTATATTAACCACTTACTATCTCAGGGTTTGTTGGAGTTGGAACTGGGTTTAGGTTTATTTAATGTAGAGTGGATGTCTTTCGGTTTTCTTGGGTTTTGATTTTGTCGACAAGAAGAGTCCATCTCTAAATCAGCAATGCTTGGGAGGTTCATGTTTAAATTTTTTGTATATCCGGTTCCGATTTCTATATTAACTGATATAGTACAAGAAGCTTTTAGTCATTAGAATAGTCTCTTTGTTCTCTCAGCTGCCCACTGCGTCATCCCTACCGTCTGCTTCCATGGCCGCCACATCCGAAGATGAATCCTCGTCACCAGAAAGGACTGCGACAGGGCTTGCATCAATCGTCGCAGGTAGTGCAGCCCCAGTGGAAGCAATCAATTTCACAACTTCGCAGTTGTTGTCTTCGAATACTGCACCAGACCTGTCCCAACGTCTTCGTTGCATAGATAGTCTGGCAACGTTCGAGAATCTGGAAAGCGCATTGTCGTGCACGCTTGGCACCTCAAGTATGCGACCAAGTGTGGTTCGCGACGACGCATCGACACAACACGATGACTTGTCGAGTGTGTGCGGTAGTGCATTGTTTCATGTCGGTACTCCACCGCTGTACAGTGCGTCAGATTCGGAATTCGATCAGGTGCCCATTAGCTCGTTTTCTTTTTCCATTGTTTTATTTCATAGCTTGACTAACTTCGGTTCGTACAGTAGTAGTAAGCGAAAGTTAGAGTTATGAGCGTGTTATTGCTGACTAATTTATCGATATGTTCTTCTCATCTTTCCGGAGGTTTGCACACTTTTTGCATGAAAACTAAGCTCCAGACCATGATACTTATAATCTGTCGAAAATATCTAAACCTGGAAAGGCGGCATTTCTGGTGTTTTCAAGCTATGGCTTATTTAAACGCACACTAAGTTTGGCTAAGATTTTGCTTCAGAACAATCTCATTAGGTAGTAATCAAAAATTCCCAATAGAGCAGTTGTGCAACGTTTCCAGAACAAAAACGCCGCAGATACTCAAATCTTCTAAGCTGGGTCAATGTCAATATTTTTCGCTTATCATTTGGATTAGTCAGTTATCTGTTCTTTTCTCTGGGACGCTTTCAATGTTATGTTCGTTCTGCTCAGAAGTATCCTTTGTTCAATAATCATTTTGTGTTAGATCCTTAAAGGAAAGTTTAATGTCTGCATTGATTTGCGCCAGAATTCTGGACGTCTAAAGTATCACCTTTAGGAGGAAAGCCTACGTAATTGGTTAAATTGATAATTGTAAAAATTGGATTATGTTGTTTAGGCGGAGGACGACGACGATGACGATCCAGAGATTTTGCAATTGATTCAAAGGTATAAAATGTCTCTATCATATAATTGCAGTTTCTTTTTTTAAATAATATCTCTTTATCTTTTAAGACATCGGACGCAACTGCTACAACTTCGCGAACAACAAAGACTTGAACTTGAGGAACTACGTGCACGACAACGTCAACTTCGCTTGGTGCGAGCTTCGACAGCAGCACCGGATCATCCTAGTGGCGATCATAATAATCTTAGCCATCAGGGCACACATCATCATCACCCTTACCGAAATCCACCGTCAGCGTTGTCACTGCCGGCCAGTCCACCACCTTTACACGTGAACAATAATGAGGTTGGCGCCTTTAGAAGTTTTCTTTACTAAATTCATTTTAATGTTTGCCTTTTTCCGAGGATTGATTCACATCACTGTTGTACTAAAGATTATTTTGGATAAAAACATGGTCTTTGTTCCTTTTTTTT